TCATTTTTTTTTCTGCTCAAGGAGACAGATTTAGAATATTTAATAACGTGTGTGTGTGTGCAGCATGTGCAGCTGCGTGTGCATGCATGTATGTGGAAGCCAGAGGTCACCCATAGGTGTTGTTCTTCAGGTGCTATCCACCTTGTTTCTTAAAAAAATTATTTGTTATTTTAATTTTATGTGTATGAGTGTATTGTCTGCATGTGTGTAAGTGAACCTGTGTTATGAAATGCCCGTGGAGGTCAAAATAGGGTGTCGAATCCCTTGGAACTGGAGTTACAAATAGCTGTTAGCCATCATGTGGGTGCTGGGGACTGAGCTCAGGTCCTCTGCAAGCAGTCAGTGTTCTTAACCACTGAGTTATCTGTCCAACCCCACGTTGTATTTTTGAGGCAGGGTCTCTCACTAGCCTGGAACTCACTGATCCTGCTAGACTGCCTGACCAGTGAACTCTAGGAATTCACTTGTCACTGCCTCCCCAGAGCTGAGATTATAAGTGTGTGTTGCCATGCCTAGCAATGCCCACGGAGGACAGAAGAGGCCATCGGATCCTCTGGAACTGGAGCTACGGACAGTTGCTAGCTGCCATGTGGGTGCTGGGATTCGAATCTGGGTCTTCTGCGAGAACAACCAGTGTTCTTAACCACTGAGCCATCTCTCCAGCCCCATAACATAATTTTTTAATGAGACACTTGTGAAAATCAGTATTTTGAGGTATAACTAGGTTTAACATTATACTCTGATGTACAGTGTGAGGAGGGAATTGTGTCAACACTTTCAGCCATATCTGATTGCAATCCTGTTAAAAATTGACCTAAATGATATAATATAGGATTCTCTAAACAGCTATCTCTGAGTAGTCTCGATATTGACATCTTATTTATCATTTTAGTAATACTTTCTATGTTCTATAAATATCTATGTATTGTAGATAGTGTGCTAAGCATGTTATATGTATTAACTCACTTCACATAACAAAGCTATGAGGGAGATGTTTTATTATACCCATTTTATGGGTAAGGACAAGGAAGCACAGATGAAAGTAAGCAGCTTCCCAGGTTTTCTATGGTATGGAATTTTTAGTGCTGATGCCAAGAATGTTCTGGGAAATTTAGGATGCATTGATTGCCCTGTAGGAGTGGCTCACTTGGTTTTTTTGAGAGGTAAAGAGAGATTTAAATCCTTTCTTTCCTTGTCTGGCCAGCTTTCCTGTCTAACACCAGCCCTGATCAAAATTACTATCCACAGCAGTTGAGCAGCACAGACATTCTTTGCATGGGAGAAGGGACCCAGGATGAAGCAAGACATTATTATTTTACAGGAAGTAATTGAAAATATCTTGAACCGATAAACACTTTCACAAAGTGGCAGGACACAAAATGAATGCATAAAAATCAGCAGCTACTGTATATACCAATGATGAATACACTGAAAAAGAAATCAGTGAAATAACCATATTCACAGTAGCCATCCAAATAAAATACAATAAAATACCTGAGAATAAACAGGAACAAGAAAATGAAAGACCTCTGCAACAAAAACTCTTAAGACATTGAAATAAAAAATGGAGGGAGATACTAAAAGATGGAAAAGATCCCCATGTTCATGGATTGGAAGAATCAATGTTGTAAAAATGATCATCCTACCATTGAATATATACATATTCAATGTAATCTTAATCAAGATCCCACAAATGTTCTTTTTTTTTTTTTTTTTTTTTTTTTTTAACGGGGCTCTCCCCTTACTCTTTTTTTTTTTTTATTTTTTTTTTTTTTTTTTTTTTTTTGAGACAGGGTCTCCCTGTAGTCTCAGTTGGCTTGAAATTTGCTATGTAGATCAGGCTGGCCAGGGTCACACAGAGATCCTACCTCTGCCTCCTGAGTGAATGCTGGGGATTAAAGGTGTTCACAACCACACCTGGCCTCACAAACATTTAGCCATAAAAATTCATCTTAAAATTTACATGGAAGTAGAAAAGACTGAGGATACCAAAGTCATCCTGAAAAAAAGAATACTGTTAGAGGCACCACCATACCTGACTTCAAGTTATACTACAGAGCCATAGCAATAAAAACAAAGCATGGCATTGGCAAAAATAATCCATAGATTAATGGAATAGAATAGTGGACCCACACATAAGTCCACACAACTATAGATATGTAATTTTTTTTTACAAAGGGTAAAAAAAAATAGATCCTGGAGAACAGATCTCATCTTCAACAACCTGGACATCAACACGTAGAAGAATGTATCTTGATCCCTCTGCCTTACCCTGCACAAAACTCAACTTCAAATGGATCAAAGACCTCAGTGTAAGATCTGATATCCTGGCATTGCTGGAGGAAGAGGTAGAGAGGACACTTCAACATATATGTGCAGGGAAGGATTTTCAGTATAGGACTCTGGTAGCACAGGAAGTAAGACCAACAATTGACAAATAGGATCTCATGAAACAAAAAAGCTTCTGTACAGCCAAAGAAAACTGTTGAGTGAGAGGCAGCCCATAGAATGGGAGAAAGTAATGCCAACTATGCTTCTGATAGAGCATTAGTAACTAGAATATACAGAGAACTAAAAAATATAAACTTCAAGAAAACAAATAATTCAATTGAAAATATGGTATCAACCAGGGTGTGATGGTGCATACCTTTAATCCAGCATGCTGGAGGCAGAAGCAGCGGAAGCAGGTGGATCTTTGTGAGACTAAGGCCAGCCTGGTCTCCATGGAGAGTACCAGGCCAGCTTAAACCCTGTCTCAAAACAAAACAAAGCAAAAAGAGTGTGGAACTAAACAGTTCTCAAAAGAATTACCAAAGGCCTAGGAAAGATTTTTAAAGTGCTCAACATCTTTAGTCATGAGGAACATGCAGATTAAAACTACTTTAAGATTTCATCTCACCCAGTCAGAATGGCTACTATGAAGGATACAAATGGTAACAGATGAAGGGAATGACAGCTGTGGGGAAAGGGGAAATCATACACTCTTGGTAGGAGTGTAAGCTAGTGCATCCACTTTGGAAATCAGTCTAGGGGTTCCTGGAAAAAAAAATCTAGAAATAGATCTATTATATGATCCAGCTATACCTCTCCTGAATATGTACTCCAAGAACTTCATATTCTACTAGTGGCATCTGCACATCTATGCTCACTACAGCTCTATTCACATGAGCTAAGAAATAGAATCACCCTGGATTGTCCATCAACTAATGAATGGATATTGAAAATGTGGCACATATACGCAATGGCATTTTATTCAACCATAAAGAAAAATAAAACTTAGAGGAAAGCAGATAGAACTGGAAAAAATTACACTGAGATAACCCAGGCCCAGAAAGACAAACACAGCACATTATCTCTCATATGAGGTTCCTAGCCTCAACTCTTTAGTTTTGTTTGTTTAATCTGGAGAATCACCAGAAGCCATGAAACCAGAAAGGGGAAAGTGGGGTGAGGTTCCGTAATGGAGGAGAGATAGATCCCATGAGGATGGAGGTGGGGAATAGGGAGAGAGAACAGTTCTAACAGGGAGATGGGTAGAGGGATGACAGGAGTTGGGGGACAGAGGAAAGAGGTTTAATCAGAACACAGAGAGTATAAGAAAAATCACTTGGAAATTCATTATTTTGTAACCTAGTTTAAAAACCAAAAAGAGGGACAGGGAGGTGGCTCAGTGGGTAAAGTTACTAGACAATGTTATTCTAGGTGTAATGAGTCACTAAACAAAAATCTCAATGCCCAGTGTGAGATACCTCCATAGGAGTTGTTAGTCAGCGAGAGCCCCCCCCCCCACGCCAAGGCCTCCAAAACAGTACAGACCCTTGTCATTCTTCTGGTTGCCCACCAGAAGGCGTTAAGGCCCTATTGCTGAAGACACTACACCTTGAATGCAAGCTATAAAGAAATCAAACTGGATCTGAGCCAGAAGTTTCTTTTGCTTGCTAGCTTTCAAGAGTGCCAGATGGAGCCATACAGACTCTTAGAAGAGTAATGCATTAGCAATATTCCCCAGATGTGAATTCTATAGCTACTATATTCATATGCCAGGATAGATGCATCCATTGGTGACACGACTGTTACGGGGTAACCAACCACTTCCTGATTGGATTTGATGCCTACCCCACAAGAGGAAATCCATGCCTAGTACTGTAAATTCAATCTGGAAGTCATGACTGAGGAGCTCTTAGGCTCTAAGGGGCAACCCAATACTCTGCTTAGTTGACTTGACATAGCACAAAGCCACCTTCTAACAACTATGTTTATACCCACAAACAAAAGTTGCTCTCAACCTTAATCAGAGAAGCTTCTCCTTCCAGGGAATGGAAGTGAATTCAGAGACTCATGGATGCACAAGAGACTGAGAATAAGAATGCTTGAAGGTTCAGCTCCAAACGAGGCATTTATACCAACCACTTAAGACTTGGGGAACATTGCAGAGGATGGGGCAGAAAGAATGTAAGAGCTGGAAGATAGGAAGCCCTCTTCTAAGCACAATATGGGCATGGCAATCATGAACTCAACAGCTACACCTGCTGGCACTGCACCCACACAAGTTGTAGCAACCACCTATAGATGGGGCAGGAGCTCACAAGAGCCCTACCAATTACTGTTACACTATTGGCAACTAACAGATTCTGGGAGAAGGGAGGCATTTTATTCAGGCTCTAATGTGTAGTTCCAAATCCTTGGTCACACAGATGGCCCTAGTTAAACTCCATGGGACACAAAGCGAAACAAAAAGTCATGAACACAGGGAAGAGATTTGTAGGGAAGAAAGGGGAATGACATAGGTAGAAGGGAAATAAAAGAGAGGAGAGACTAACCAGAATCCATTTATATACATGCATGAAATTGTGAAATAAAATTTACTAAAGAGCAAAATGAAGCAATATCTTCTCTTCAGGCCCCAAATCACTGAGTAAATGAAACTGAACCTCCCTTGTAATGTTTCCAAAGGTCCCAAATGCTATTAGAAACTGATATTCAGAGAGGAACCCACTCACCTGGGGAAGAGGGTAGAGATGGCACTGTGATTGGCCAGCATCCTGCTTACAAAACTCCAGAGCATGACACACCACGTCGGCATTCATATGTACATCAAGTCTGGAGGGAAACGGAGCAAAGCAAAAGCTACTGAGATCTCTCAGGCATTAGGAAATAGAAGCTATACCAAAGACAGCTAAATCCCCAGAAAGGATTCTGATTCCTTCAATTCAACACAACCTGGCTTTGGAGCTCCGTCCATTGCAGCTGCTAGATCATCATGATTTCTTGCCATGTTGCTCTCCTGCCTTTAACGTAAGGTTCTGCGGGCAGGAGGAAGCACACAGTCCCTGAGCTATGAGTCAGCCTTTCAGGAGAGTGCTACAATTCTTTTCAGGAGAAACCACAAAACGATTGAGAAAAGAAAAAGAGAAAATGGTATAATTCAATGGGAATAATATTGTAAAGTTTACTAGGCCTAATAGCAAAAAGAAAATAAAAATAGTATATAGTTTTACAGACTTAAAATTATTTCTTTAGATATAATCCAAATCACCTCTCTCCTTTAAAGTAAACATATTTCTTATTCTTTTTTTTAAACTGCATATTTTCATGAACGCTACTTGTATTTAACCACTTCAGACACCACATCTCTTTTTCTGATAGCTTCTATTTTATTTTTCTTTTGTAGCATTCAAAAAAGAGTAAATAAGGCAAATTTATAAAGCTTTCTCTATGTTGCTGCTGAAGCTACATAACTTATCCACCCTTACTAGTTTTCCTAAAGAAATGTTAAACTCCTAAGGATATAAATATTTGACTAGGGAAATGGTTCACAGGGTAAAGCACTTGCCATGTAAGTGTGAGGACTGGAATTTGTATGCCCAGAATCCATGTAAAAGCCAAATAGTAATTGGAAAAGAAGAGATCAAATTATCCCTTTTGCAGATGATATGATATTATAACTGAGATGCCAAAAATTTCCACCAGACAACTCCTAGAAATTATTAACATGTTCAGTAAAGTGGCAGGTTACAAAATTAACCTACAAAAGTCTATAGCCTCTCTATATACCAATAACAAGCAACAATAGGAAGAGCATATGGAAAGACTCCCCTTCACAATAGCTGCAAAAAAATAAAATCTCAGAATAAACCTGACCAAAGACATTAAAGAGCTCTACAATGGAAATTTTAAATCTTGAAAGAAATTGAAGAAGACACCAGAAGATGAAAGGACCTCCCATGCTCATGGATTGGAAGAATTAATATTGTGCTCTACAAGGAAAATTTTAACTCTTTAAAGAAAGAAATTGAGGAAGACATCAGAAGATGGAAGGATCTCCCATTCTCATGGATTGGAAGAATTAATATTGTGAAAATGACCATCCTACCAAAAGTCATTTACAGATTCAACACAATGCCAATCAAAATCCCCATGACATTTTTCTTATTCTTAAGGAAGAAAATACAACAGAATTGATTTGTTTCTTTTCCAAAGGATGCTGTAAGGACAGGGCTCTTTTCCCCAAGAAACTGGCTACTTTTCTTTGGGGTCTTTTTTGCCCTAACTGCCTGGCCAATTCCTACCTCCTATTCTTATCACACCATCCTCTGAAGAGGTTACCCAACTTGCAGATAGGGAATCAGGCCACAGACCGCTCTGGCTTCTTCCATCCTGAACAGGGATGCAGGGTGAGGCAATTGGGGTGCCCCTTCAGTCGGTCTATCTAAAAGACTCCCAAATTGCATAACTCTTGTCTCTAAGGGGAAAAGAAAGTCCTTGAATCATGAATAGGAGATGTGAAGGAGAAGTAAAGGCAAGAGTAATTAGCATAACAAGTTCTAGACAGGGAACTAGAAAAAAGTCAGAACAGGGCAATTTTCAAATGTTCCTATGAGAGTACATTGGACTTTCTTGACAAGGGCTTCCCAAAGCATCCCTCTATTGGGTTTTCCCTCATTTTTCTTTTGTCTTCCAAGATTGGACTCTAGCGTGGTGGATTCAGAATTTGCTTTCAGGTACTTTGATAGCTGTTGGAGTGGTTAGAATCAGTGTCCGTTCCCGCTCAGAGGCTTCTAGATAGGGGGAGAAAACAAATTTTGGCCATCATTTTAGAACAAGAGTGGGTTGTCTCTCTTAGCTATAGGTGAGCACTACAGTGTTGAAGACCAAGATTTGAAGTATTATATCTGAGCAGCACTTTCTGATTAGAAACAAAATCATCAGTGAGCATGAAGGTATTTCAATCTTCTGTAGCTATATCATTGGCTGTTACATATCTGTTTAGGTTGTTTATGTCATTTTGATTAAATTTTGATAGGTCATACATATCTAGGAATTTATTCATTTCATTGCTATTGTAAATACAGCAGTGATAAGCATGAAGGTACAAATATGTATGTGATAGGATGTGCAGTCCTTTGGGGATACACCCCAGAACGGTATAGGTGGGTCACAGGATAAGCCCATTTTTATATTTTTGAGGAACCTTTGTACTGATTTCTGTAGTGCCAAGGCCAGGCATTGTGATACTTCTGGTAGTATTCTTTCTGCTTAGGACTGCTTTGCTTTGGCTATCTTTTAACTTTTGTGTTTCCTCTTCAATTTTAATATTTTTATAGTACTGTAATGATGTCACTGGAATTCTGATGGAAATTGCATTGAATCTGTAGATTACTTTTGGAAGAATAGTTATTTTCAAAATAGTAATTCTGCTACTCACTTTGTATGCTGTATCTTGCAACTGTGTTGATGATGTCTTTCAGATCTAAAAGTTTTCCAGTGGAGTCAGTGGGGTCTTTTAAGGATCATGCCATTTGAAAATAAGGCTGGTTTAATTTCTTCCTTTCTAATTTTTATTGCTTCTATATCTTTCACTGTCTTAGTGCTTTAGCTCAGACACCAAGTACTGTACTGAATAGGAGTGGTGAGAGCAGGCACCTTGGTCTTGCTCTAGGAAATGCTCTGTTTTTCTCCATTTAACACAATGTTGGTTCAAGCTTTGTCATATATAGCCTTTATTATGTTGAGGTATGTTCTATTCATAATTTCTAATTTCTGTTCTATGTTCTATTTCTAATTTCTTCAGGACTTTTATCATGAAGGCATATTGAACTCTGTCAAATGGCTTTTCTGCGTCTAGGGAGAGAATACTGTAATTTCTGTCCTTAAGTCTATTAATATGGCATATTACGTTTATTGATTTTCATATGTTGATCCAACCTTACATCTCTGGAATGAAACCAACTTGGTGATGATGTGTGCATCATCCTTATAATGTGCTCTTCAATTTAGTTGGCAAATGTTTTGTTGAGACTTTCTGCCATTTGCAATTTCATTGAGGAAAATGATGCATAGTTTTGTTGTCTTTATCTGGTTTTGGAATCAAGGTAATGCTGTCTTCATAGACTGAACCTGTAGCATTCTTTTCCTTTCCTTTCCTTTCCTTTCCTTTCCTTTCCTTTCCTTTCTTTCTTTTCCTTTCCCCTTTCCTTTCCTCTTTCCTTTCCTTTCCTTTCCTTTCCTTTCCTTTCCTTTCCTTTCCTTTCTATTTTAGTGAACATTTAGAGAACTTTTTGTATTAGATGTTCCTTAAATGTGATAAAATTCAACAGTGAATCTGTCCAGTCCTAAGCTTTTTTTTTTTTGGTGGGGAGACTTACTAAATGCCTCAATCTCATTGCTTATTATGCATTGGCTTAAATTACATATATATTTTTGGATTTGATGTTTAATCTTTTTGAAGAATCAGATCTTTGAATAGGTCTATGTACTGCCTTTTAGTCTATATTTCATTAATTTATTCCCCATATATTCTTTCTTGCTATCTGCTGAATTTGGATTTTGCTTCTTTTCATTTTTCTAGAGCCTTGAGGTACATCATTAGATTTTTTGAGACCTTTATGATTTTTAAAAAATGTAAACACTTTTAGATACATACTTTCCTCTTAGAATTCCTGGACTGCATTCCAGACGTTCTGATAGGCTCTGCATTCATTTTCATTTAATTCTAGGAATTTAAAAAATTCCTCCCTATTTTTTTTTCAGTGAACCATTGTTCATTTAAAACTGTGTTGTTCAGTCTTCAGGTATTTGTGTGTTTTCTGAAGGTTCCTCTTGCTATTGATTTTCAGTTTTGTTCCACTGTGATCTGATTAAGATTCAGGGAATTATTTCAATCATTTCGTATGCCTCAGGGTTTGCTTTGTGGCATGTGATGTGATCAACTTTACCGAAGATTCTACATGCCCATGAGAAGAATGTATATCCCTATCCATTGCATGGCATGTCCTGTGGAAACTATTAAATGTAGTTAATCTGTGGTATGCTTTAGCTCTAAAGTTTTTTTTTCTGATTTTTAGTTTGGATATCTGTAGATGTGAGAGTGGGATGCTGAAGTCTCCAGGCACTGTGTCAGGACCCATGTGACCTTTTATACCTTTTAGTGTTATCTCCTCTGACTAGCTTTGGTTTGCAGTCTCCTTTATCAGACGTCAGACTCCTAGGCCGGCTTCTTTGTAGCTTCCATTTGTTTGGTAGGTTGCTTTTTATCCTTTGACTCTCAAATTTTTTTTAATATAATGATGCTTCTTATTTTTAATTTTTACAGTTTTTGTACAATATAATTTAATGGTATTTAGATCCCTCCCCTATCTGCACCTCCCTTTATTGCCCCCTCTCCCAATTTAATGCCCTCTATAGGTACATATGTCAACTCTAAGCCTTATTATAAGGCTTTTGTATGTCCATCTTAGTTAACTGAGTTTCATGGAGACAAATGATAGTTGGATCTTCTTGTTGAATCCAGTCAGCCTGCATTTGGTAATTCGTGTGTTAACGCCATTTACATTCAAGGTTATTATTAAGAAGAATTTGCTATTATTGATCATTTTTTTGTTCTCAACCTCCTAAGGCCACCAAAAAATTCTTCATTTTTAGTATTATTTTGCATGTATGTTTATCCACTTGAGTGTGTGCATCCTTCTGTGTGGAGGCCAGAGGATGACATCAGATGTCCTCCTTGGCCCTTCTCCACCTGATTTTTTTAAATTGTTTTAATTGAATTTTTGTGTATTTCATACAGAATGTCTCAAACAATCTTAATCATCTTTATACCC